CAAAAAGTCGTAGGAACAGTACAAAATAGGAACACCAAAACTAGCTCGTCCGATTCACAGGATTGTAGATTAATGGTAAATGTTAATGTAGATAATAAAAAGGAAACAAAGGCGCCAGTCATTTTTCTCGATGCTGGCTTCTCTGTTTTATACTAGGGCAGACTGATACAGTATAACTAGATTCGATTCCCCGTGTATTTTAAACCGTTTTAAGATCTCTCTTTATATTCAGAAGATTTCCTAAGTTATTGCCTATAAGATATAAATTGCAAAGTTCATAGAGAAGATAACCTAACATTTGGGTATATAGCGAAGGTTGCTGAACAACTGAGCTCTTTGAAGCACTTTCCGAGGGTGGTCCGCTGTTATATAGAATAATCAAGAAGTTGGAATAATTAAAGAGTAAATTGAGGAAATTGACCAGTAGGATCTGCATAGCAGAGATGACATTAGATAGATAAGTATGAAGATCTCGTCCGTCAATCTGACCGGTTTCTGACCCCTGTTAATAAAATATGAAACGATAAAATATCAGCGTGTACTCCACCCACTTCCAACGAGTTTCGCGGCACTTTACAAACTATACAATCATGTTGTATTCTTAAGCGTCATATATCTAGCTACATTGAAGCACCTGTGCCGTATCGCTGATTGCAGGAAATACCTTGTGGTCAGGTAGAGCATCCTGTATAAGACTTAGGTCGACGTTAAGAAAAACCAAATTGTTTCACCGACTGGAGTATAGGCCTAAAATGGATGAGTTGTTTCAAAAGTTTGGGTATTTTGGCGGACATGCGCTAATTCTAACCACAACGCAGTATTGACTTTACGCGATTTCGAACATGTAACAAGGGTAAATAATACGAAAAGGATATGCAAAAACAAAATATTCGTCCGGTCCCTATACCTTCATTTGCCCTAACTGTTATTGGTGCGATTTGTTGGTTATGAAAACCGACAACAACCCCATATGTAACGTGTAACACACAAATCACAACCGTCATTTTCTATCTTTTTAATACGTACCTCCGCCCTTTTTTCCGTAAAAAATACTGAAATATGAAAATATTATGTAGTCGTATTCATTTCCATCATTTACCAGAGGGAGCTTTAATCATTCTCATTTTCTACAAAACGAACGCACTGATTCAAAATGTGCGTTGTATTAGCCGGTTTTGAAATTTTAAAGAACAACTTTTACCACGCAACAATTCTAGATCTTGATCTGTAATCTTTATATAAAATCAAGATTTGGCGCAGGATATATTTCAGAGCACAAGAGGTGTGGACCCTAAATAAATCAAATGGCCCAGTATCATCTATTAATGAAAATATACTCAGTCATATATATATTATATATATTCAGTCATACAATGTATCGAGAGATCCAAAGTAATCGCTTCATTACTTAAAACATCTACAATGCCTTTGGCACATTAAATTAATTGAATAAAAAGATTTCATACAACAAAAAATCTCATGAATCATTCTCCAAATACATGAATCAAAAGTTGAATTAGAGCCAGATAAAAGTCCTATAGAAGCGCCAGCTACATGATTTAACACAGTTAGCAGCTAGAGGGTTAAAATACTTAACAACCCTTCAAACTCTCCACGTGAGTTAAAGTGCTACTCGGCGTTTCTGTATAGTCTGAGAGGCACCACGCTTTCCTGGAGATCACGCCGATAACATTTCATCTACTCAGACATTTCAGAGATGTTCATCCATTGATTAGCTTATATTTGACCGCGGATAGTTACCGCTTTTTACATCTCCGGAAGAGAGACATAGAGGGAGCGTTATCCAGGAAAACTGAGCTTTAAATATCAGGGTATTCTGGCTGCTCTATTGGAACGCCTTAGTTTTTTTTTTTTTTTTTTTTTTTTTTATTGAAAATGGCAAAAACACATTACATTACATGCCACCTTTTTATTTTCCTCCCTTCTATTCATTTTTAATGCATATTTTCTTTCGTTGATTTCTCTCAAAACTACCCCAAAACATTTCGATATTTGATATTGATTCAGAAGTTTGTCGATAATTACAAAACATTCTGTTCTTTCTCAGCACTCATCCTTAGTTAGCTTAAAACCACGTGGAATCTCTAGGTTATTTTAAGTGCTCATCTTTCATACTCTCGGCCCTATTTTCATTTGCTATCATCTTACCCCCCCCCCCCCCCACCCCCACCACCACCACCACCATAAAGAGCAGTAGTTGAAAGATTTTCATATAGACTTTCTGGCATGTTTCTCGCAGAACAGAATCTAATTATACTGTAAAATGTCAATTTGATTCTTTAGGAGAGCCATTCTACCGGAAATAAAATGGTAATGTTTTCCTACATGAACATGTAAATCAACTCTACGTCATCGAGTAACAGAAGAAGATAAAAAAATCGTCCAGTAATACCCATAAGCAATACCCAATACATTAAAACATATCAGGGTAATCTGATATGCGGACCAGGCCTGAAAATTTTCTTTAATCAAATCGCTATGCTGGAATAGATTACCCAAAATCTACAAAAAATGCCAATTGTATCAGTTTATGAAAAAATTGACTACATACTAGCCACCCAAAACATTTGTCAGGAAAGAGTTGAAATATATAGCTGTTTATTCAAGAAACTTGACAAAATGTTCGGGGTAAAAAATATGGATTGACAGACTTCTGGCGTGTTTAGATCATGAACTGCAATAGATATTGCTTTCGGCGAGTTATCGCAGCGGAGCGTGTGTGTTTCGGAACGGAACCTAGTCGAGTGAACGGGTGCTTGTCTCAAAAATTCTCCCCGAAATGTCGACGAGTACACGGCCCAGTTTGCAAAGTTTATAAACTGAAAATGGCGAGTCTTTTCTGTAAGCTGCCTAGCAGAGTAATTTGATCTAGACGTGACATTTTAATTTATCCACGGAATTCTGCATCGGATGGTTAATTAAGCCTACCTGACGAGGTCACTGGTCTAACTTGGCGATAAAATAGATAATTAGAAATATTTTTCTTTACCTGAGTACAATTTTTGTTTGGCATGGGCAGGAGGGAAACATTTTTTCTGTAATTACGCGCTTGGTGAAAAGGGTTTCTACCTTCGAACAGAAAGAAAAAGTTGCACACCTTATGGACATTGAAATTCAACGTTTATTGCAAACATTGACTTCTTTACTTTAGCTGCTAAGCAATAATCTACCACAAACTTACTACAATAATATTGTAAAGGAACCAATAGCTATATTCCAAAATTTGATAAGCATTTGTCATAAATTTGCCCTTGTTTTGTATTTATTACATGTACGTATCAGCCACGTACGTATAAATATTATTTTTATCATCTGTACCTTTCATTTAGTGTATAACTTTTAGAACGAAGCTGGCAGATCGACTAAATAACATAATCGTGAAATACAATGTAAAGGTAAGGAAGCAAAACGTTAGAGTGATTTAAAAGCAAATACGGACCAAGGTAATAAAGGTATACGTCCGACATAGGTTGAAGAAAAAAGAGTTCTGTTTCACGTTAGAGTTGTTTCATTTGCCTTAGTTCACTATTCTCGATAATGTTTCTTGAAACAACTTCAGTATCCTAGTTTGAGCAGTTCACCATTTAATTTTTATTATTTTTGAAAAGAAACGTAAATCATCGACGATCGCAGCCCAAACTAGATCTTCCGGGAAAGCTACAAGGGCAAGGAAAACACCTGCTGGGGTTGAATATGTAACCTAATCATTGTAGTAAGACCTACACCAAATTAAATAACCTGTGTCACATCGAATAAAAACCTAACTGGAATCAAGTTAGACCACAACAAAATTGATCATACCAAGCATACATTCAATTTGTTCATTTTGGTTCAAATTTGATGCTGGTTTTAAAATCGATAGAGCAATGTTCTTATAAAAGACACGTCTTACAAACATAACTGCTGTATGGTTTTTTTTTAAATTCAATTTGTATCTTTTTGAGAAATCAAACACACCTGCCTGCGCGTCTGCTTCGTTTCTCACAGTGTCCATTGACCAACAATAACTGCCACACCCTATGGAAATACACACATAGAACGCCACCGCCATACAGCACGTATACGCCTTTTACTGATCTTAAAAGCCCATTCAATGTGTAATGGAGCTTTAAAAACCACAAGGGGCGCTCATTTACAAAATTGTCAATGCACTGTTTCCGAGAGAGAAGTTTGCAGAAAAGTTAAACGGAATTTTGTTTTAAAATTTCTTAGGTTTGAATATCTGTGTAATCTACGTTAATGCGGCACCTGTAAATGCACGCAATAAACTGCTCGCTCTGTAAAAATGCATCAAATACAGTGGACTGAAAGTCAGTAGAAACAAGAGTCTCAAAACATGGTACCTAGTAATATCGCAGCATTCAATTTACTCTGCATACAACAGTCTGACGTTATGTTATGTTTTCCTATATGTTATGTTATGTTATGTTATGTTATGAGGGCGGCTTACATTGTATCTGAGACGCGGAACGCAAATCTCAAAATACAAAATAACTGCGTTTCAATTGGGATTTTTTCATATCCGCCCCTGTAATTATATCATAACATAGATATTTTCTCAAAGACGTCTACGAAGTCTGCAAACCCCCTGATGCTGATGGTCTTTACACGCGGAGCTCTGGCGGGGTAATTGCCCTTCCAAGTACTATTTATAGTGATCCAAACTAAAATAGCCCGTTCAAAGATAATTACAGTCAAAAAGAATTAACTGGCACTACGTAGCTAGGTGCATTTCACAAATAACATGCCAAAAATTTCAGTTGAAGAAACTCAGTCGCCTGAACGTGAGAAATTCAACTCCCATTATATGTAGGTAAGAAACCACATGCCGCTAATGCAACATACTTTTCAGGCTGATCTGCAAAATTCTGAGTTACTTGTATCACATGCAGATATTTTCTTTTGATACAAGACACTCAACTCATAAATTTATTTATTTATTTATTTATTTATTTATTTATTTATTCAACTATCTCTGACTTCTTTTCATACTGAATACACATGGGGCATAATGTCCCAATTCACAAAAGTCGGTTTTAATAAAAAGACTTACATATAATATCTCAGGGCAGAGTAGTACCCTCCTTGCAATCAACAGTCTCTCCCTAGTTCTTTTTCATGCCTGTGTGTAAATGCTATTATTTGCCAAAAATAGTTCAACACTTATCTATACTTATTGGCATGTGCGCTTAAACAGGCATTTCTGTAACAGGTTTCTCGGTCTCTTTCTCTTTCCTTTCATCCTCTGGTCCATGATAATTCAAAGCCATCTGGCTGAGGAGCTCACACTTATTTATCATCGTTTAGGTAACATTAGATAGTTCTTTTAAAAACAGAGAAACTCTACTGTGCCTCCACCACTAAATGATCCAGTTTTGCTTGTTATTTGGCACATTTAACTATTGCTGATTTCCAAGGCCACTGCGGAAAGGACATTATGAATCTTTTCAGAGCTTAGGCATTCTATGACATATATCAAACCATTTTGAGCTTGTCTTCATACACACAGTCAGCTAATTGAACCTGTTCACTTCATTCAAACTTTGTCTGAAGTTCAGTGTCACTTCCAGCATGTCACAACACTAGGGTCACTTTCCACTCTATCATCTAACTCTTGGTAGCTCAGTCCTGGAATTGAACAGAAATGGTACAAAAAGTTGAAAGTCATTGCTGCATGCGTATGTCAGTGACCTATTTTGTTTTACTGGTGTTTCTCTTTTTAACTACGAATTTAAAATTACTTCAAGAAAATTTGATTTTTTTCTTATAGTTATTTCTATGTGCCTTTTGACATTAACAAAGGCTGATTCCAGGATTTTGATAAGGGGGAGAGGCACAAAGATTCATAACATTTTCTGAACAATGCAAGGCCAATATTAAATAGCAGAGAGAACACTTTACCATTATGTGTATGGCATAAGGATAAAAAAATTTTTTTTCTCACATTTTTGGACGAAGGGGAAAGGTGGCTAATTACATGAGAGATGCATGGGCAAATGCCTGCTTCCCCCCCCCCCCATGGATCCACCATTGACCTATTATTATTATTTATTCTAACTTTATATCTTTGTCCAATCCTACCTGTCTTGCAGCAAATGTCATCATAATGATGTCGTCCTGTGAACCATTTATACAGGTGCTTTGTCTTGTTGGAACCAGATTCGTTAGGCAGCTTCAGTGGATACTTGTGTAGCCTCCTGATTAATTTTTTCATCATGCCAAACTGGATGAGTTTTCTGGATACACAATCACAACAATTGTCAAAATTTTGAATATCAAATAGTTGAGATTATATACAATGTGACATTATAAGAAACTTGAAGGCTCATCATACTGGGCACTGAAGTATATGTACAGAGAGCTATAAAGAACATGAAATGAAGAAAGTTAGAATGCTTTATAATTTTTATTTCAATATAACTGGTGAAAATAGTCTTGGTCTGACACTACAATAACTTATTAATCCGAATGTTGGTAAATCATCGACTTACATTGTAAAACAAAGCTACAGAGGTACAAACAAATATTTTATATATTTCCGTTAAAAATACTCAGCTGCTAGAAGCATGCATGCAACTCAAGGCATTCATTTTTTTGTGGCCAAAAAATTATTCCTATTCTTAGAAATTCAATGTAAAAATAGCACATCTGACAGAAACACATCATAAATTTTTCTAAAGAAATCCATCACCAGGATGTCAGCAAGGAATTCTGCTGCCTATTAGCAATGCATTCTTTTGTGAACGGATCTTTCACCAACCTTTCATCTATTTTGAGTGTATGGGGATTGAACCTAGTACACAGGTCTCTCACAGTGGTCCCCGGGGTGAGGCCGCAGTACAGCATAAATACGTTGTGAAAAGATGGCCGATGTCGCCCTGTCAGATAAAAAATGTAACTTTTAATATTTATTCCCATTTCTAATTGATAAATCCTCATGCTGCTCACCCTGTAAACTTGAAATTAATTTAATGAATATTGCTGTCTGTTAACCATACAGTGGAATGATGACAGAGGAAATGACAAATTTAAAAATAATTAAAATTTGATGAAGCTTTTTTTATCACTTTGCATAAGGATGGTTTGTGTACATTTATTTTTAAAAATGTCGAATTTTAAACTCTAATTTTACTTATGAACAAAGAACAGGATGAAGGCAGACCATTGCAGACTTGACAGAAAAAAATTATAAGACATTCTCAAGTTTTACAAAAGTCTACAGTTCAACAAAAACATGTGGCAGACAGCTGAATAAAGTCTTTAGCAAAAAAAAACTTACAAATGCCTGTTTTGCTGAAAGAAGGCAATGAAATTCTGCAGAGAAAAACATAGCATTTTCTTTTTGTTGAGTGATAGACAACGACTACCAAGCAGAAAAAAAAATAAATAAAAAGGCAAATGAAAAACCAACTGCCTTTTATGATTATGTCAGAAAAATATCCATTAGACAGGACACCTTAACCAAAAAATCTAACAATGAACATTAAAATCTTCAGGCTCCTTCGTAAAATTAATAAAACCAAGTTCAGAGCAAAATTTACACCAGAAATGTCTAATTAATATCACCAGACAACAGAAAAGAATTTCAAATCCTTGCTTCATCAATCTGGTTGTCTTCTTACATCAATCAGATCATTACCAGTTTAGGTTTGTGCCATGCCAAAGTGTGACCTTCAACTCACTATATATAACAATATACCCACCCCCACTCACAAGTTCCAGAGATTACTAAAAACCAACCTACATTATGAGCAAGCTCAAAATAAATGTAATAGTTTCCAGGTATCGAAGCACAGATTTCGAAGAAATTGAGAATGAAAATTGAATCCATACTGGACATGCATATGTCAGAACTCAAATAACCTGCACATGAGTGTCCAAAATGTGATTCACTTTTGATTAAAATTAAAATTATTCCCATGAAACTCAGGGTGCACCAACCTGACTTGGCCACATATTTAATGCAGCTTTCCTGCATCTGTTTGTCTTCTGCCAGGCGGTTGATCTCTGGGGTGACCGTGTACACATTAGAATACTGCAAGATTCAAAATGATAAAATTCTATATGCTTTGAAGTTTCAAATAATTGTACCAGTATGATTATGATTATTATTATCATTATTTTTTTTTCTTTTGAATTTTTTTCTACATGGTACAATTATTTGGATAGTACAATTATTTGGAACTTCAGAATACACTTTTTTGTTTTTGGAATAAAAAGGACCCATGGTTGACTTGAGATAACTGTTCCTAATTGAATACATTTTTGGTAATAACAAAACCTTATTCCAACAAAATTAATTATGATGTGTGATTAATTACATATAACTCTACAGGTCTGTAAACACTTGCAGACTTTCAGGTAAGAAATAACCCAAATGCAAAGGTTGTGAAAACTACTGCCAGCTTTTTCTCTGAAACACTGGCACTTTGTAAAATATCAAAAAAACTAGTGTGGATGTTTTACTGGATGACCATAACCAACATGAAATTATGACATCATGTTTCACCTTTAGAGAGCGTGTTGCAATAAATACAAGTTACCTGTTTATCAGACTGACTCCAAATGAAAGTTTCAAGTAACCTAATGTCAACTTATTTTTTATAAAGCATCCACAGAATAAGGAAAATGATAGATATGAAAGGCTAAAATAAGTGGGGGTTCCAGGATGTTGCTTGGAGAGGATGGCGCCAGGATGAAAATGTTTTGCCAAACTGTGAACAGAACAGCAAAATACAAAATTGACTACATGTGGACAAGAACAATATTTCTTTTTTTACGCAGGACACAGGAATTGAAAATGGCCTCGTATATCTTGCTCTGCTCAATTTTGGGGGATATAAGGGACAGTAGGGGATATCTCAGTAGTTGAGGGGAGGGTCCTGTGCCCACTGTGCCCCCTCAGACCCCCCCTCTCCCCCCCCCCCTCCACCACCAACACCCACCCAGATCCATCATCAAAAATGCCATTTCTCAACTCACCTGGAATATGGAGATTATTGCTATGATATTGAAATGCCTGGAAAAAATGAACATTTATTAAGTAAACAATAGACACTGATTAATTCATTTTGATGCTGTGCAAGATATTAAGTTGGTATATTTTATATTTACTCGGAGAAATTATAAGTGCAACCCTTTTTCAGCACACACATTCCTTTATAAATACCTAAAATATAAACTGATAATGGTAACAATAAAAGCATAATAATGAAGAAAAATAAATAAATAATACATAAATAAACAGCCACTTAAATACATGTATACATGATTTAAAACAAATCCTTTAAAATCCAGACACTTTAAATAATTTTAAATCCCAATGATTAAGAATAAGACATTTTTAACACAGCAAAAAGTTCTAAACTTCACCAGGTGTACCAGGTGTAAAAGCACTTAATTTAATTAAGATGTAACAGTAACCAAACAGTGACAGGTGCTCAGAGGTATGATAGATACTATAGCTAGGTGATATGTTTGAAATATCACTGAGGGTTAATTAAAAGAGAGCTGGAATTACGGGCTGGCTTCTAGGATATTTCCTTTTTATTTCTATTTTAAAACAACATTTCAAGTCTGCTCTACACTACATACTTATCAAATAGCAATCATTTCAAAAACAATACATTTTCCATTCATAAAAACAGAATATCTATTTCTAGAGTAATATATTTTGGAGTCAGTGGACAAAATAAAAAAAATTGCCAAACAATCATAAAAATTGAGAAAGCATGCCCTTGTTATTTCTGCTATCTCAGATTTTTTCAACTTTGCCCACCAACTTTGTGGCATTTAAATAATCCTCACCCTAGAGCTCTTAAAAACATGGCCTGAGATCTCTCATCTATACAGAGATAAAGGCTACGTCTCTGATGCTTACAACAACATTCACCTTTAAGAGGGGTCTAAATGTGGAACTGGTAGAAAAATAAAAACAACATCGACCTTCCACCTCTGGCAGTTAACAGATTAATAACACCCTTACGATGATGAAAAAATCTCAATGCTGCAAATGTTGTGCTATCTTTAAATTACGCTAGGAGGATATCTACATTACTCCTTCACAAATTTTCAATTCATATTTCAAATGTATTCCTTGGAGATATTACTTTGGCCTTAGTGAACTCATTAATTCATTAACTGATTTAAAACTTAAGCATAATAAAGAAGATGATAAAGGGTCTATTCTTAGCAAAACTATCATTCTAGGCAGATCAATCCAACTCCGCAGGGACTTTAGCTGAATGCAATCAGATTGCAATCAGATTACCTCCTCTTGTTTCCAACATACTAGTACAAACAAATATTCTACTCAACAACAGTGTTATTTGGTTTATCTGATTGCATTCAGCAAGAGTCCCTGCAGTTGAATCGAGCTATGTGGAACAACAGTTTCATTGGGAATGGGCCCTAATCAAAGGGCGTGTTCACATCAGAATTTATTTGGACTGAGGTGTACTAGCTAGCAGATGTCATAACATGGCCAAAGGGAAACTCATTGGTTATGTCAGGTGGATAGAAAAAATTACATTTGGAACTCAGTTGTTCAAACTAATTCTGCGGAGACTCTTGCTGAATGCAATCAGGTTATCAGATTAACATGCCTCCTCTAGTGTCCAGCATACTCGTATAATCACCAGCTTTTCCACAACCACATACTCTGCTCAATGCCAGGAGGAGGCTTGTAAATCTGATTGCATTCATGCTACCTACTGCCTCGTACATGGTTTCATGTTAATCCTGATGTGAATCTGCCTTGTTGAGTACTTACAGTAAGTTCTGCACACAACCTTTCACCAGGTTTATCTCAACATCTGTTTCCACTGATATCCTGGCCACATGATTGAAACCATCAATGTAGGGAATTATCTGAAAATACAGCATTGGATTAATACACTTTTTAAAAAACTTTGATACAGGCTTTCATTCATTGTAGCTGATACATCTACATTATTATGAAAATGCACAATACAACAGATGATATTAAAAATAAGTACACTATTAAGCAATGCAATTTATATGTTCTTTGGCATTTTTATCTTATAAGTATTTTTTCTAATCCTAAGCCCAGTCTCAATCCATAGCCAATTTTTTACATCTTTACTCATTATCAGTAACTAAAAAGGCCACACAAAATTGACAAATCAGCTTAGAATTTTGTTAAATTCTTGGAACTGATAAGAAACAAGATACAATTATACATATAGTAATTATAATTTATTAGTAATCTGCAAATAGATGGGATAGAACATTTGAAAATTCCAAAATCATATGATTAGGCTGATTCAACATTTAGAAATAACAAGACCAAAATACATGGCAGACATCATAATAAGTTAACAGACATGCTCACTCAAAATCTTTACACAGAACAGCTGTTTTAAGTAATCTATACAACTGATGTATTGGAAAGTTCTCATTTTAAAATACAAATACCAAGGATATTCAGCAAATGCACAATAATGATTATAACAGATGGAGAAACAAACAACTTTACCATATCGTACCTGATTTTAAGTCCATTATTTTTAGAAGGCAACATAAAATAACTACTACTTTTTTATTTTTTTAAATAAATAAGCTAGACATTTTCTGGGTTGACATTTAGTAATATCATTTGTCTTAAATACAATTCAGAGCCACCTCTTGTTTATTTGAACCTCTAAAATCCAATGTTTTTTATTTTGAACTCAGATTAAATGTCATGATTGTGAACTTTGCAAATACCATCTAAAAACTACTAATAAATCATAAAACTTACTATCCAAAAAAATGTCTCAAATGCCTACTTTAAAATAACCAGATTTTATCAAATAAGAACTCGCCACTGCAAAGATAATCGCATCTTCATGTGAAAAGCAACCAGACAGTCTGGTTTTGTCAGTTATCAGGCTATTTACAGTTTCTAGTTAGACCAGTACTGACAGTGGTTAATAACTCACCTGCTGTGTTGTAAGATCCCACTGATTTCTCTGAAAGTTGTTCTTAGAACTGAGAAATATTGGCACATCGTGGTCTGCTACCTCCAAGGCGTCTTCATGTGGAAGGACTAGCTTCAGGTGGATGGTGTTTGATTTATCTGTTAAAATGAAATATGAAAATGAATAAATCTGCACAGAAATTGTAACAATATTGAAATTATATGTATACATCTTCAGGGGAAGATATGCATATTGTTGTAGCATTTTCATTTTCAAATGCAGGTGTTTGGTAAAACTGGAAATCATAACAATCAGGCCTATATACTTGTAGGCAGGGAAAGGGGTGTGATGTTCAAAAGAAACACTCCTTTTCGTCGGAAAGGTCCACTCTGAATCAAAATTTGATCCAGGTTTTACATCATTTTTCAAATTGGGCAAACTGAGGGGTTAATATTCCACTTTTTCAGAATATTTAACACCTCCTTTTGAAACTGCTGGCTACAGGCCTGACAATACAATAATATTGTTAAGGGCTTATTCCCAATGAAACAATAGTTCTACATAGATCGATCCAACTCTGAATGGACTTTCAATGAATGCAGTCAGATTAACAGATTAACACTCCTAGTTTTGTTCCTATAGTACTTGTATAATCACCAGCTTTTCTGTATTCTACTCAATGCCAACTGGAGAGGTGTTAATATGTTAATCTGATTTCATTCAGCGAGAGTCCCGCATAGGGACGATAGTTTTATTGCCAACCAGCCTAAAGACTCACAACAGACCACAAATGCTTGACTGGGTTAGTACTTGTATAACTGGTATTTATAACAATTATACATGTACACAGTAAGTTTCATAAAAAGGGGTTTTAAACATCTTCATTCCACTTACTTATAGGGATGTTACAGGTTCCAGACATATTGAGTTCAGAGAGAATTCTGGACATTATATTGGGTAGAGTAGACTTCTGCTCTTCATTGGACAGAAACTCATTCTCAAGCTGGAAGAAAGTTGGGAATATATATATATATATATATATATATATATGAAACATTGATTGTGTTAGGTGAGCCTGTTTAACACAGTTCACAACACTGGAGTTGACTTTCCTCTGCCTAGTTAACACATTCTGTTCCCACTTCAGTGCACTGATACATAAAGATATTGTTCATTTTTTCCATTACTAGGGAGTTAAAGCCACACACTCAAATAGTAAAAATATAGTCAGGAGATATCCACACGTTTACCTTAATGACCATAATGAATGCTAGAGCCTAATCCAAATAGAATCATCCAAGTTCTAATTGTTTCTAATATTTGAGTCTGTAGAGAGAGACTGCATGGATATCCTTAGTTACAGCATATATTACAAATACGGACTAGAAAACCATTTTATAGACTAATAAATATGCTTTCTTTCTAAAAATTTTGATCTGATATAAATGTACTATTAAATTCCAGGATGATAACCAGTATTTTTCACTATATAAAAGTTTATTACAGACTGTATGCCTTTAATAAAATAATATACTAGTACATAGAATTATCAGTGTTGTCGACCACGTATGTGTCACTTGCCTCTAAGTTGGTGAGGTAGCCTGCCAGTTTCTTGACAATAATTTCAAAAGGAGCTGTGCTGGCTGTGGCATCTATAACCAGGCACAAGTTAAAGATGAGCATATTTCTAGGATACTTTGGGTTCTCTATACATACAGGACAGCCCATTATCTTGTGTCCAAGTGCATTGCTGAAATGAAAATAAATATAATTAATAAAATGTTGAGTATATAAGGCAATGACCTTCTAAAATGTGTTAAATCATGCTTCAGAAAGCTTGTGAAATAGAATGTAATACTAACAGTATCAGTATCTTAAAACTCAATAGCTCTTACCAGTCACAGAGTGCATGCAGTTCTTAACCACTTAATTATCTAAAATATATAGGTTTAATGGAAAAATCTTTGGAATATTTCTTACATAGTGATTAGCCTGTTTTGTAGCTGAGGCTTTGTGATGATGTATACATGTACAGTATCAAATGCCTCTTTTGACAAATAGTCTTCAGGAACCTGAAATTGGAAAAATATAAGTAGACAAAGTGACATTATAACTTTTTGTTGACTTTGAAATCCCTGTATTTATTTGGAAAATAATAATTTTTTTTTTTAAATTAATGTCCAATAATATAATTCACATTAATTCCATGTCACTGCCAGGAATAGACTGAATTCAAACTTCAAGACTTAAAGCATAAATCATCACTATCTAGCTTTTATCATCAGCTTCTGGTTAACAAAAAATGCTACATATTATGTTTATATTTAGGAATCTACAAATACATCAAACCACCATATCAGAGGTGTAAATAAAACTAAGCAAGATTTGGTTTAAGTCTAGCACTCTTTGTAATTTGACTAAGTCGTATAATCACTGAGATACCCCCCCCCCCCCCCCAACCCCCATTACTGACAATTGCAGATGTACAGTAAGGTAGTACAAGTTCAAGGACCAGGGTTTACAGTAAAATTGGAAGGTGTTTGTTATTTATTTACGCATATTCTAGAATAACTAAATCATCTCTAACTCTTTTTAAGTAATTTTCCTATACCTGATATGTAATTATCGGTCCTGCAGTCGTGTGGAATTCGGAGAAAAATATACATTTGATTGGAGGCACACGCTCCATGTTGTTGCCGTTTCCTTCGAACTAGGTCATTTATGCGGCTCGTTCCCCTGTGTCATTTTGGTACATTAACGAACGAAATTGTGACTTTATTTTGCCAATAAATATCATATTTGAGCTTTTTGAACAATTATTATGTTAATGATGATCATTATGTATGTATCATTTGTAATTTTTTTAATCAAGAATTTAATCTAAGGTATAAATTGCAATAGAGGGAACCAATCACTTATTTCCCAGAAGAAGGCTCCATTTGGAAAGACGGTAACTTGTCGGCAGATGATATTTCTGATTATTGAAATGGTTGCGCATTTCATAGTGGTGCTATTTACCTCCTTCGTTGTCTACACAGCATGGCCAGGGTCAAGTAAGTAATTATTTTGCGCTAGGATGGTAATTTTAGAGAGAATTTTAGTTTTTTGGTGATTCTGACACGTTGCTCTGTTTCGGTTTCAGTTCCCAAGTTCCACCTCATCATGTTTTTTGTTCACTTTCACTTTGACGCGGTGCAGGTTTAAAGATTTGTAAGAACTTATACACACTGCAACATTTATTCTGGCCTGAGCTTTTGGTTTATTGGAATAAGGGAGTAGTATTTCAGTTATTTTGCCCTCAAATTTAGTTTTTTAAAAGAAAAAAAATCTCTTTCTTTTGTTCATCATCCATATTATGTACCTATGTTTGAAAAAAAAAAAGCTTTTTCCATGATATTTTAAGGCACCCGTTTTGTTATGATTTAGGTTCTATAGCCTAGCTTGTAAGTACAGTGTACTGGTATACCCAAAACAAGTGATTGTCAAGTCAAACTGGAGTAATACTCCTATTTGATCCCTTAATTTTGCTTTCACTTTTGTTTGGAACAACAAAAAAATCCCCTTTCCTCATAACCAACTTTGTTATTCATCATCTCAGTAGTACACATAATTTTTTCTAGTTAATTATTATTTCTATGGCATCTTAAGGTACCAGTTTCAGTTATTTTTCTTAGTACAAATTAATGCAAAGACTAAACCACATCAAAGCAGGAGTTACAGCACACAGCAGTATGGGACATCTCATCTTCTAGACCAAGATTGTTTGTATTCTTTACAGAAGTGATGGCAAGAAGAACATAACAGAACTGTTCTGACTAACCAAAGGCAAAAGGATATTCAAGACTGCAACCATAACGAAATTGCCTCTAAACTAGAAAGAAAATTAGCTGAAACCAGTCAACTTTCATACTGAAAAGACAGTATCACAAGTGAGAAGTTCAGAATACAGAAGAGGAGATTTTCAAGTTTGTTTAAGGTTTAAGTTGTATCATTTTTACCCAAACCAAATGAAGAAACTGTTTGTAACGGTGGGCACGACCCAGTTTGATGACCTCATAAAGACAGTGTGCTGTTCTGAAATACTGTCAGCTCTACATAAGCTTGGTTACAGACACCTCACTCTTCAGACAGGACAGGGCAGTTATGAGCCAGACGTCACTCACTTCAAGGAGCTGAAAATTGAGGTGTATAGAAGAAAGCCCTTGATAGCAGATGACATAAAAGAATCTGATCTTGTCATTAGCCACGCAGGAGCCGGCAGCGTGTTGGAAACACTGCATGCTGGGAAACCTTTAATTGTCGTCATTAATGAGAAACTTATGGGGAACCATCAGATTGAGCTAGCTCATCAGCTGTACAAAGATGGTCATTTGTATTATGGGACATGTAGTGACCTTTTAAATCTTTTGACCAATATGGACATGTCCAAACTGAAGCCTTTTGAAGATGGAGACCCCCAGAAATTTGGAGATTATATTGATAAAGTGATGGGATTTGCTTGATTTAAGTTTTATAAGAGTATGTGTTTTTTTTGTATCATCATGATGTTTTATCCTCTACCGTGGTCACAGATTGATTTTTTACTAAATAGTAACAGAATGATATGTCTCTGTCTTATTCATAACACAATCCTGTACTCTACCCTAGTACTTGCATTGAAGAAAAGTGCACATAATTAATATGCAGCCCTTGTTGAGGGCAATGATGTTTACTCATTGTTTGTTAATGGCAGTTTTTTTCTTTTTTTTTCTCAAGGGGTTCGGTTGAAATTTTAAGCCAATCTTTTAATGAAGTGCTACGACATATTTCTCTTATATGCAGCAGAAAATTAGATATTGATTTTTTGTTCACATTAGCAAGGGCTAAACGGAATATTCTTCATATCGGATAAAAGATAGATGACAGTGTTGCTGTTTTTGCATGTTGGAAATGTTTGGTAGTAGTTATCACTTCAAGATTTCAATTGGAATATTCTTGCTATTTTAAGAAATGACTTTTTATGAAATACTGATATTGGTTAACTCTTGAAAAAGGGAACATATTGCTTTCACTTATTAGTACTAGTATATTTGTAATGGCAATTCATTTCTTTTGACATAAGATGAGACACCCTGTACTTTAATCACTACATGTATAGTAATAAGACTTAGCATAATTACATGTACTTTAGTAGTTTTAATGTAGAGTGATATATAATTTTAAGATCATATAAGTTAAACCATCATTTATAAGTTTCATTTCATTGTAGGCTTGTTTTCATGGCATCCAACCTTGATGGTTGTAGCGGTGAGTAATCATTTTGAACTTGTTTCATTTGTCAGGTACAGTTGGTCAGATATGAAAATGAAATCTGATATAGTTAAAGTAATCTGCATCACATCACTTGACTGACCCGTAGATTAAAAAATTCCTCTGCTTCATCTCAACCTTGAACATTTTGTATATTCAGTTGTTTAGAAAAAGATCTCTACATATTATATATTGAGTTTGCCTTAAAATAAATACATAACTGTGGCTGATAAACATGGTAGTAAAGACTAAAATAAGATCTAGGCCAGGGTTAACAGACTGCTTCAAGCCCCAGTTAATATGCTAATTTTTTATATCATTTTTGTTCTGTATTTTCAGTTCACCTTCCTGATGGTGGAAGCCATACTGGCTTTCTCACCAGAAAGTTCCATGTTGTCAAAAGCAGAACACAAGACTAAAGTCATGGTCCACAAAATCCTTCAAATCCTCTGCGGCGTGTGTGCAGCCACTGGCGTTTCTGTTATTGTGTACAACAAGATCTTGCACAACAAGCCTCACTTTACCTCCTGGCACGGATTCTTAGGTATTATGACAGTGGGTTACCTGGTGATGCAAATCCTGATCGGGATGGTAGGATTTGTATGGTTTCCCGACATCCTGAGGTCTTACATGTCCCTCTTTCAACAGAAGTTGCTTCACGCCACCTCTGGTATTATATTGTACCTGATGGTTTCTGTCAGCCTCATGTTGGGCATGCTTTCTAATTGGTTCACTTCCAATGTCACAGGAAGTGCTTGGTACGTCTGTTTCATGTGTCCGCTGTGGCTTGCTCTCATTGTGGCCCTGCAGACGACAAATTCTTATGTACCAAGACTGAGGAATCGCAGAGGATGAACTGAGGAATGAGATGGATCTTTTTTAACATAATAATCACATGGTCTTTCATGTACTTAATTGATATTCGGCTTCTATTTGGATTTAGCATTTTAGGGTATATAAAAAAAATGGCATATTGCCATTGAAGGTGGAGCTTTTGGTTAATATATCTAGGTTCACATATTTTAATTTGTTTGCTTTTTAAACATCAAAGTATCTGTTTCATTCCAGCATAAAGACTATATATATATACTAAAGCGATTAATACTAATTTAGTTAATTTTATATATTGATATGTGCAAGAGTGTTGCAAGTTGAAGTGCAATGTGATAGTTTTGGTGTATAAAAACTGAACTGTTCATATTTTACAGTATCGACTCACGAGATTTCATTACTACTTGTTGTACATGTTGGTGTATTTATTGTACTCCAAACCACAATGGCAATCAGTGTGTGCATGTATTTTGTATCCAAATATTGAAGCAACAAACTACTGCTTAAGGCACTTGCAAGCATGTGATATTTTTGTCAAAAAAAAATAATTTGTACAGGTTGAAAAAATGTGATTTTTATTTTAAAAACTTCTGTACTGTCTCAGAATTAAATTTACTAGAAAATTGCATGATACACTCTACTGCTTAAAAGCAACTGATAGTTAATTGCTAGAATTAGGTGAAACACCTAGCTGGAGAAACTTTCAGTTTTCCTTTATATTATTGCACTGAGACTAACTATTAAGATTTTAAACAATTGGTGATGATATTACTTCGTTTTCTTTTAGAATATCACAAACTAATTATTCAAACAATTTAAGATTGCTCCATTTGGTTTCCACATTTATCCATATGACATAATTGTAAAATGTATTTGCTAGTAGACTAGGCTCATGCTAACCTTGAGCAAAATGCAAGTACTTGTAAGCTTCTGGGTTTGCTTCACTATTCTTTATTAGTCAGATCTATTACCATGTGAAATCCATTTCAGCTGGCAGCTGTTGTAGAAATACTTGAACGCAAAGTTCTCTTCACATTTATATATGTAAGCAGATTTAGTGTCAAATTGATATTTCAGTGAAATCCAAGAAATGTTTTTCAAAATATCCTTGGTAAAATTGACTTTGTTGAGGTCTTGTGACTGGATGTTTTCACATGAAAAATGTTTTAATTGTCTTTGCAAATTAAATTGAGAAAATAAAGCAACATAACATAGTAACAAAACATTCTTTTTTATTGTAAAATGCATTCTATTCAGATATCTCAACATTTTAATTTCAAATTGATTAATCTTTAAAAAATTCAAAATGGTCAAAATGATACAACTGCATCGTTAACAGAAGGGATGAAAATACATATATTTAAAAGTGAAATCTTTGAACACCTCAGGGTGCTTTTAAATGACAGCCTTGGGTATGTGATGTCATCTACTTCTGTTTCACCAATTAAAAATTGTAATTCAAAATCACAAAGATTTTCTTCAAATTTCAGTTTGTAACAGCCTCCAATTAAAAACTTGAAGTTATCATGATAAACATAATATTGTCTTCTCCACTTACTGACTCTACTTCCTTTGGTATCAATTCTGTAATTCTTTGACGTATGAGAAGGGCTGGGAAAGTTTTGACAAGCCCCCTTCTCAAATAACTTCCTATAGATTTATGACAACATCATGTGCTTGATAATAACCAGAAGTAAAATTCTATTACTTCACACTATCAACCAACCAAACTAAAGCATGTTACCATAAATCTCTGACAAGATTTACCAACTCTTGTTGTTTTCACTAATAAAAGGGCATCAAATCTGGTGTTGCAAACTCAACTAGGGCTATGTTTTTGTGTCCAATACAGCTTATGTGCTTTGTTTCCATACAAAACAACAACACCACCTGCAATGTTTTGGAAAGCAGGATTAACTACCTTGTTTCAGCCTACAGCAAATAACAGGCTATTGACATGCTATACTTCAAGCTTGGTCCAATTTCTCTTGCCTTTGACCATGCACGGACACCTATCATGTGCTCCATCCCTTTAGCTGGCTTAAAGCCCACTCAGGGTACTACCCTTTCTCCGCAGCAAGGAGAGCACTACTTCCTGCTGTTTGATCCTTTTTTACCACCTGATGGCAATGCGGGCTTTTCATTGGTTCATATCTTCAGTTTCAGCTCCCTCCATCATCACCTCTGCACCTTCATGTGAAGCACCCTCACTTAATTGCTCTGCACCATCAGTTGATTGGCCTGTGAGAGAGAAAATTGGAAAGGTAGAAAGTTACATGCTTTGATTATGAATGGATAAAAGCTAAGACTGCTAATTAAAATCAGAAGAGAGTCCCATTTATCTTGAACATCCATTAACTGTGACAAGGACCTGTTGGAGAGCTCTGGTGGGCGCCCTGTGTTCAACTAGGAAATAAAGGATTAACTAACTATTCATTAACTGTCCCATGGTTTATGAAAATTTTAGCAAAATCTAACAACTTTCTTAATTTTTGTCACTGAAAAGAGACTCAAATTTTGTTGCATATTTTCTTGCATATATTGACTGTAGCATCTTAAATAACAAATCTTTAAAATAGCAATATAAAGGGTATATCTACACAAGCATCTATATAACCTTTCTTTAGGAAATACTACTCAACTAGGTAGAGTAAAACCTATTAATTACTCTTGTTTGTTACAGTTTTTATTCACATTGGGAGACAGTCAATATATTGTGCCAACTGGTCACACGAAATTCGGGGAGGCAATATTTTCCAACTATCAGCAGACTTCTGACTTTTTGGGAGCCAAAAAATATCATTGGCCTAGGTAACCCCCTGGACCCCACGCTATACTTCACATTCCCTCACCTGCAAGTTTTTCAACATCTTTCGCTTCTAAGAAAGCTCTCTGCATAGACAACTTCTTTAATGTATGGCACTTATACTTCAGTTTGCTTTGATCACTCTCTGGAGATAACATCAAGCATCATATGATTGGGTAAAACAAGACAAAAATGTTGTTAATAGTCACGTAACAGTCATAATTACTAGTACACTACAACATTTGATTCATCCCCAACTTGCAACTGAAATTCACTTTCACAAAACTGAAAAGATTTTTCAGTCTACTAAATATGAGCAGTTGATTGATTTTTATGATGTTTTATTGAAAAAAAAAATTAACACAAACCTATAAAATACGGTGCCCTTTTCTTCTGTGAAATCAACTTTTTTTTTTTCATCAACTTATTAACAAAATACACCCTGGTTCTTCATCAAAAACAAGCAAGCACAAACACAAAATTTAATTACCTTATAAATGCACTCACCTGTAGGGTCTGGCTCCATGATGATAGCAGCTCCTACTGTGTCTTCATATTCACCTACAAATATGTAGCGATCCACCTGCATCACTGGCTGTTCTGTCTCTGCACCCTGGATAGACAATAAAAATATAAACATTATTAATAGTTAGCCATTACAATTCAATTTTGTTCACAATTCAAATATCCTATTTTGTTACATTATGTTACTTTTCATTTCGGTATCTTGATCTCCTCCCTCTATTCAATACTCCATACTTATAAGTGTCAACAGCATGTCCTTCTCCATATTTATTGTGTTTTATTTACTTTATCAATATACCATTACCACATGTGGTATTCTAACATGATCAGAGTCTGAATAATCAGATTTTGATTTTTACCAACCCTGAGAGAGAGAGAGAGTTAAAACCTGCATTAACTAAAATATCCTTATTCAGGTTCAGAAAGCTCCGAGAGAGATTGTAACATGCAGTGCAAAGTCTTCTAAAGAAGAGCAAAGCTGTAGACATCAAAAAGCCGTTAATTTCTAGCAAATTTTTATGTATAAAATTCAAATGCAGATTTACACATACAGGCACTATAATATTACATACCAATATTTTGTATTTGGTGCCTTTTTTTGTGACAGTGTCATTGTCTATTATCCCCGACAGCTCAACAACTACAATAGCTTCCTAAAAATAAAAAAACAAAACAAAAAATAATAATAATAATAAAAAAAAAAACCAAAAAAATCAAAAAGCAAAAAGAAGAAGTTTTAGGTTTTATTTACTTTTAATGAAATGGCGGACGAAGCAATAATGTCTAGTTCCTAATATCTAACTTAAAAAAAAGTATTGGTTCTTGTTCTCAATGTACTGGGCTGCAGTCAACAAATTTGACGACTGACAGAAGCTGTTTCTTTAAGATGAATCTGTTTGGAGTATTTAAAAACCGAATTGTCGCGATATAGAATAAAATGGAACTTTTTCTCTGACATAAAAACAACACCTGTAAATCCCACAACACACTTAGTACTTATGATTTACCTCTTCAAGTTCCCACTCTTCGCTTCCGGACATCGTGAGTCCGTTTTAAAAACAAAACAAAATGTGCACCGATATATCTCAAGACAAGACGAATTCACAATTCTCTTAGACTCCTCACAGAATCGGTTATGCATTTAATAACACATACAATCAAGCCATTTTTATAAATAAATACGTTTAAAATCATCCCTCATTATTATTTCACGTGAAGAATAATTGATTCTAACATGTTTTCAACACCCCTCCTTTTTAAATGCCCAAATGTCAAGCTGAAATCCTTTTTTAACATAAAACCATATTGCTTCATTTTCGTCCTCCATTTCAAATTGAGGATATTTAGTTATGGTAGCTTAAACTTTGTAACAGTTATGGTAGTTTTAATCACAACTTGATTTATATATTTAAATGTGCCATATTTCACTGTTTTTTAATGAAATACCCAATAGAAACAATACCGTATCAAAATAAGCAGTTCCTTTCAGATTTAGAACATACCTTTATTCGTATATAAACATGTTACACCACACAAAAGTATACATATTGTTTGTGTAATTTTTCACATAAAAATTGTTTTTTCCCCAACACATCTCAAGTCTATTCCAAAGTCCAAGTGCCGGTTTTATCCAAATTTAGTATTCAGATAGCTGTCTCTTTCCAATCACAGCACTCGAAACCTGCATCTCTGGGTTCAGTGTCTCAAAACCACTGCAAAATGTCTCGAGTCTTTTATCATTTATATTTTTGTCATGCCAGTTGTATCCCTGAGGCTTCAATTTCCTTTTAACTGTGATATTTCCATTGCATAAATATCCTTGCCTGAAATATCAAAGGAAGGTAAATGCAACTTTTTTTAATCAAATGTCTTTTTTCTAGTCACTGTTAAAACTTCAATTATTTTTTATATAAGAACTTTTTAGTAAATTATCAATTTTTAGTACTGCTATTTGTGTCACCCCCGTTTTAAATAAAACATAACACTTCTGTTAAGGAAGTTCCAGAACCATTATTATTGTGTCATCTTAGTTCTACTAGTATTTCCATACAATATTAAAACATAATACTTGACCTTGTGGTTAATTTACCTGGTCTAAGCTTGGGGAGCTGCTGGTAATGGCTCTGGTTCCAAATTAGCAATGGTCTGGATTAGTAAAATTCCACCCACAAATACAACTGCACTCTTCACTATTGACCTGTAAAAGGGAAAAAACTGATAATTCATATTGGTTACAGTGTGTAGCAAGTTTTAATTTACTGACAGAGTGAATGTCCTGGTGACATATATACATCCAATAGTGTGTTATCACAAGCAGTGAGAGGAAAAAATAAATTTTACTGGACTTACAATAAAGTCAAACAATGCTTCAACTTATACAAGATCAGGTCCTCGTGGTCAGTCAATTCCTAGCAGCACAATATTCATGAGTTAGCACTCATAATGGAGATTTTTTACATGTACCCTGTTACATGTGTAGCACTGCATGAATTTTGTGCAATTTTCCTGTTGAAGACTGTTGATACCAATTACAACATCCAATAATAATTACATCACAGGCACTAGAACCTTTTAAGTCCACAATTTGGCAAATTTTCCTCATTTTTTACCTTTGTTTAATGTTGAGGCATGTTCACTGCCAGACCAACTTAAAACCGAAACCAATCCAAAGTTACAGAAGAAGAACAAAACAACATCAACGACCTTGCCTTTCTTGGCCATCATTTGGATAATAAGAAAGGATTATAACCTGACAAATTATCCTTTATATTGCACTTTTTGCCCTTTATATGCCACTTAATCCCTGCTAAAATAAATTATGTTTCGATTTGTGTGTCGCCTGTGGAGGACATTATGCCATGATCAAGCCATAATGTAAATTATGCAATGTATTATTATATGCCATCATATACAATTTTCTGTACAGATTACAGTAAAAAAAATCTACCAGGCTCAAAATAACCAAACACTGTTAAAAAATATTTTTGTTACATACCATCTAAAGTCATCTTTATATATGCTTTTCACGAAAGATATCGTATTCTTTACTCTGCCTGCCATGCTTTATGATAGCTTCAAAGCGGATGTGCCTCTGGATGTATAGAAAAGCAAGAATGATAATTCACACGAAATGCAAAACTAATCATCAATACTTTGAACTAGATAACTTCTTTACGTTTTTTACTGTCGAAAGACGATGAATTGATGCATTTGCTTTAGAATAATTTCATATATAGGAAAGTTTTTTCCCCGGCATACCGTGCTCAGCATTAGACACACGCAGAAAAGGTGTGTCTGAAATTCGGGCTTCTGATTGGCCCATTGTGACGCCGCTTTCGCGACAACATAAATAAGCACGTGGCTTGGGGAGTGTTGACGGGCTCAAAATAAAAGCGCAGTTTCCCAACACACAGAAAACAAGAACACAAGAAGAGAGAATGAAGCTTTCGGTGCGAGTAAGGGGCGAGTGGTTTGCAGTTCCCTGCAGCAGGGGGAATGAAACTATAGGTTGGCTAGGTGAAGAGGCACTCCGTCGGTACACGAGAAACAAAAGCGGAGCAGTTGAGCATGATTCCAACAAAAATGTGACCGAGATTGAAAAAGTATTTGAAGTTCGTAAAACACAAGGAGGGGCCATTCTCGATCCTGCTGACCTAATTAAATCCGTGCTTGATGACAACGAGTTTGTTTCAGTTGGTAAGTTTGGAGTCTTTTGATACATGATTTGCATTTTAATAAAGATAGTACTGTACGTAGTAGTACTGTAGTTTTCACAACACGATAACATATGTATGTACCAACAACACGTGGGTATTCAATCACCAAACAATACAAAATGAGAGAAAGTTTTGGATTAAGTGTTTAACTGATTTAGAATAATCTCTTCGTGAGTGTAGATGAAAGTCTGTAATAAGTTGACCGGAAAGATGAAGTCGGGGAGGAGAATAGAAAAATATAGTTGTAAACATATGCACGATGAAAATTTGACGGTTAAATAATAGTTGTATTGAATACAAAGTGCTAAGGCAGCACGGAACAATGCCTTGCGCTTGCAGTTACACAAAGCTTGAAAACATATTACGTTTTATAAGGTCGGTTCAGGCTGGTCCAGACTAGACTGATTTGTATGCTTCAGGTATTCAATTGTACTTATCCACCCAATATTGTTTGATATAGGCCTAGGCCTTTCAAAGAGCTGTGAACTGCCGCCACACGGCAGACTGTGCCCACACGCACTGCCAATGTTAGTCTACAGTTTTTTGTAAATTAAATATGACCATCTCTTAGATGCAAGGCCAATCAGAGTTTAAAAGTTTACTGGAAACTCTTTCTATAAGCCCCTCCTCCCCCCTCCCACTGATCCTAAAGGCAGATTAATGGTTTCACAACACATACGCACACATACACACAAGCTTGCACGTGCAGGGTACATGTACTATCTATCCAAAGACAATTACTACTCCCCCATGCAGGAATGTCATCCAATTTGGTTTTGATTGCATTTTAACCTTATTTTCTCCAAGAATATTGACATGAAGTGTCATGCAGTTTCCCTCTGTAACAAGTATCTTTTTGAATTATTTTCAGTATTGGAAAGTGATGTCTCCAGCCCAATCACAGGCCCAGTGGAAGTTACCTACATACCAGAGCAAGTGTATCCTTTTTGTTTCAAAAGAACCCTCCTTTTTTGCCAGGAGAAGGTCCCCGCTGAGTAAAATCTATCTAGATAAACGAGGATTTCTTGCCTGAAGATCTACTTTTGAAATTGCTGGCTATGGGGCTAGAAGTATCATATTGAAATTTTCTATAATATTTTTTTTCTTGCAGAAAAGTTTCATTTCATTTTTTAAAAGAAATAAAAAATTGTATTGCTCATATTTTCTGCTTGTTTTCTAAACACTTCATCAGTGGAGTTAATAAGTAAAATACTATTTTTAGAAATGGAAAATTCCCTACTTCCAAGAAATGTAAGTTTGCTTACGGCAATTTTATTTTTGTTTTTGATCAAAACTTGGCTGTTAACCAGGTCTGTCAAACTAAGATGCACAGCAATGTTGTTATGACTTTTTTTCATTAAGAACTCCTTGACATTTTATCCAAGTCCAGGCTCATATATTCTACCCAATGAGGTGAGTTCATTTAGCATGAATGTAATAAACTAACAACCATGTCTTTTAAAGCTTTATTTAATTTTCAAATAAGTAGTTAAAAAAAACAGTGAATATGTTACAGAAAAGTGACATTTCTTTATGTCTAACTGAACATATTCCCCTATGTGTTTTAATTTGAAAGTGATAACTGTGCATGCATACCCTTCTAAAAGAAGTATTGAGCAAGAATTTAGTAATTTAAAATTTAGTAAACCACCGTGGACTTTTAAAATTTCCAAATTTTTGTGTATCTTAACCTAAGAATACAAGAAAATGGCATTGAAAAGGAAGTATTGTTTGCACGTTTAAGTACAGAACCTGCTTAACCTACATATCAGCCAATCAATTGACAGCATTTTAAGGTCATTTAATGTCTGGGTCCCTTACTTCAGACTGCTGTTTTTCTTTGGTCACCCTGCCTTCACCTCTCTAGCGACAAGCCAATCCATTTAACAAGAATTAATCAATTTTACCAGATTTTGGGTACATATATCATAATTGTGTTTTGTTCTATTTATTAGAATTATTAAATGCTGCATTCTGCAAATTAAATCTCTAGATCTGTCAGATCAGAGAAAAACAGCAAAATTTACTTTCAAAAGTGCAACTTTTAAACCAGGGTAGCGATTTTATGCAGTCACATATTTTTTGAAGAGACTTAAAGAAATTCATGTAATCTTAACTCAATAACTTACATCAAAATTTTAATTGATTTTTTTCTATGCTTGCCTATAGTAAACACTGCACCTCTTATCTGACCTGATCTGACCCAGCATGACTTGAAAATACGCGAAAATACACAATGTGTCCGAATGGTTTGGGTAGGCTGTACCGGTAGTTGTGCTCAGTACACAGAAGTTAATTGACATTGTTCATTGATGTTGGTATAAAGAGAGCTGAAGATCTGTGCCATGAATCTGTTGTTTTTTTAGCTTTTATTTCTTGAAATCTGTTCTTTTCTCCCATGTTTAGTCAATTTCTCGT